GAAACTTTACAGGAAACTCAATGTGTCACAATCTGTTGTATTAAAAAATATATGGTTTGTACCTTCTGTTTCTATGAATAGCTTTTCACTTGAAGTGTGTGTACAGGGTGTCTGAACTATCGACTCACCTTTGCAATTTCAACAGAATAGTTGTAATGTCAGTGAAGCGCTACATTCAATCCGTATTTTAACCTTTGTAAATAAGGTACTTGCATAATATGAATTTGAAAATACCAGCCTGATCCATGTTAGTTTGCCTCTGTTTTCATTCTTTTTTGTTTTTAGCTCCTGTGCAGTACCCCAGCTCTTTTAGAATCACTTATGTTACATGATTCTAGGGAGTTGAGGGAATTGCTTGCACATTCCACAAATGAATTTTGTCAGCCTCCATGTAGCAGCTGCAGGTAATTTTCTTAGTTTTCTGTTTGAACTCCTCCCCTTGGGATGGCTGTGCCTGGGTGAGGGAAAGCCTTTCCCCTGGGCCACAGGTGGTGGTATAGGAAAGACTTGTAGCTTTCAAGGGTGTGGGCTATTCAGTGGCAACTATAGAAGATGTCTTCCTATTTCTTTTGATTGTTTTGAAATCCAATCCAAGGCCTCATGCATGCTAGGCAAGCATGCTGCCACTGAGTTATGCCCCACCCTCTTCCTTTATTAATGTACTTGATTAGATAGGCTGACACTGGAGACCCTGATATCTGTGCCTTCAAGCTCCACAATTTCTTTGCCATTTTCTCTGTTGATGTGCTTTTGGTGAGTTAGGTAAAAAAGATCGGAGGCAAGTGAATACCACTGTATCTCTCCTTTGTGCTTTCTTATCCTTCCTATTCTCCTTGAAAGTTTGTGGGCAAGAAATATATTATTTCCCCAATTTTATATGCATTTACCATATGTTTGAAAAAGTAAGATATTTTAAAGCATTGACCACAATCATTGCTTTCAACATGGCATTCTGTAAGTAGTGAGCTCATTGAAACAATATGTCTTAAAATAGTAATTTACATCTGCCACACATTTGAATGAGAGTGTTTTATTCTAATCATTATGTGAGAATAGAACCTATTAAACACTGGCAGTTTCATAAGCTTATAGCTTACTCATAATGTGGTATCGAGACTCAGATTGTATCCAAGCCCACTGAATGAGTTAAATATTTCATATAGTTAAACAGAGAAAGAAATAATACTCCACCTCCCACTGCTGGAGTTTGCATTCAGAAGATGAGTTAACATGATATCTATAGCCAAAAGTGAAATAAAATAACAGAATATTTCACATTCTGAGCTAAAATCCTATTTTAGCCTCAATTTATTCTGTAGCACTTATTTTCACAGTTAAAAATTTAAGAACAGTTAAAATATGTGGTTTTAAATATACTCAATTGAATTTTCATAATTTTAATGATATTCTCAATCTTTTATAATGTAGTTTTATTGTAGTGAAAATTACTCTTATTTCCAAAGTGAGCATTTGTTTCTCTTAGCATACTTTATTTTATTTATTTATTTATTTGCATAACTGCTTGCGCCTGCTTGCATGTGCTTTAATCTACTGAGCTATTTGGCTGGCCCCTCGCTAAGAATTTATCTATTCTAAATACTTCACATAAATGGAATGATATATGTGCATGTTTGTGTTTATCATATTTCACTAAGCAGAGCATTTTTTGCTTAGGCATGTTTTATAATCATCGTACCTTTATAATGGATTAAATGGCTTTTTCTATTTCTCATTACTTGTTCATTCAAATAGTCTATTTAGTCTCAAAAACATAGCAACCTCAGTTACCCTTTGCTTTCTATTTACATGTAATATCTTTTCCACACCTCCACACTTTTTCTGTCTTTCAACACAAAGAAGGAACTCTTTCAGAAAAAATAATCCATTTATAAGGAAATTATTTATGAGTAATGGCTTTCATAGAAATGTGCCTACTTTTGGTATGTCCTAAATTTTTTTTTTGCTTATTTTCTCAATTTCTGTGTTCCCCAGGTTGCCCTCAAACTTGCTGCCCATGTGCCTCAGCCTTCCACTATGATGAGATTTCAGTGTGCCACCATATCTCACTCTACATTTGCCTTTTAAATTTCACTGGAAAAATTTAGGAGTTATAAACCAAAAGAATAATATGACTGGATTTTATATTTATATACCTTGGAGTTACCTTCATACTTGTACATTTTTCTTATTATATCTGTGATTTTCCATTTAGTGTATTTTATTTCAGTCTATAAGACTTTAGTGTTTTTTTACAGAAGAGGTTAACTGGTAGTGAATTTTGTCAGGTTTGTTGTTTAATTTTTTTGTCTAGATTTATTTGTTCCTTGTTTTATTTTTCAGACAGTCTTATTATGTTACACAGGATTGTTTAGAAGCTCTAAGCTCAAAAGAGTCCCGTGCCTCAGCCTACTGATATCTGGGACTCCATGTGCCCTGGAACTGGCTAGTTTCACAATGACTTGATTTCATTGTTAAAGAAGTATAGTTTTGCTTGGTGTAGAATTTTTGATTTACAGTTTTTTTCAGGACTTCCTGTATATCATTTTACTACCTTTTGGCTCCCAAGTTTCTATGAGAATTCAGGTATTAAACTTAGTTAAGATTGCTTGTATGCGAGATGGAATTTCTGTCTGTTTAAAATTTATTTAGTACAGGGGTCTACAAGGTCTCACTACATAGATTGGACTCATGGTGAGCCTCTTATTTTTAGCCTCCCAAGCGCTGGGATTACAGGTGCCTGCCACCTTGCCCAGTCTCAGTGGCCCCAGGGGCGGGGCCAGGATGGTGTGCTAGAGACCAAACGCTGGTCCCTGCATTTGCATAAACAGGAACTTTAATCTGCTGAGCTATCTGGGCGGCCCTTGTAATTTCTCTTTTACTGCACTAAAAATTCTTAGTTTAAATTTTCAAAAATTTAACGTGTGTCTCAGTTAATCCCTTTGGGCTTATGCTATTCACAGTGAGAAGGCTCTTGTGTGTGTGAATATTAATGCCTTTCTTCAGATTTTAGAAGTATTAGTGTTGCTTCTTCAAATATTCTGTTTTTGTAACTTGCTTCATTTTGAAAACTCTATGAAGGGATGTGTTGGGATGCTGTTTGAAATCTTACAAATCCCTCACGCTCTTCTTTTTTGTTGATTCTTCTTCTGTTTCTCCATTTTTTATCATCTAGTACAGTGATCATATGTTCCACCTGCTCAGGCCTGCTGCTAAATATCTTTAGTATGTTTGCTATTAGTGTATTTTTTCATAATTTATTTTATCCCCTTTTTAAATCTATTGGTACTCTAAATCTGTTAATTTATTATTTTTCTAATTGCATTATTTATCTATAGTATCAATTAACTAGGTTTTCATATTAAAGACTATTTTTACTAATAACTTTAAAGTCTGAGTTTCTTCAGGGGTAACTTTCTCTAGATTTTTCTTCACATGAGTCCAGGTTTTTTGTTCTTTTGTATGTTAAGCACTGGACATTCTGAATATTACAATATGGTAATTCTAGGAATCTGATTCTACCATTCCTCATAGATTGCTCATTCTTATTTATTCATAATTGTAGCCATGCATTGGTACATTTTCCAAGTGATTTGACAAATGTGTATTTTTTCTTGTATGTATCATTGAATTGTGCATTTCATTATCCCTGCTATGAACCAGTCACCTGGCAAAGATTTCCTTTAATGTGTAGCTGTAAAAAGCTGTGTATTGAATGAGAAGTGTTTATATATATTTAAGTCTCTTGAAACTACCAAGTGCTGCAGCTCACAAGGTTGAAACTAAAGTTGAGCATCTGCCTTGCTTTTCCATGGTGCTGCCAAAGCAACCAAAACGAATAAGCCCAAATGTTGAAGAAGATCCTTCCATGTTTAAGTTTGCATCATTTTTGTCCTTTTAGAACTATTTTGTGCATGTTGTTTATTTCTAGAAAATAGCTACAGTTTCTTTTATCACATACACTCATTATTACAAGCAGCCAGTCAGGTTGTAGAGTGCTAAAACAACTTATTTTAGGCAGTCTTTGTAGTTCAGTTGTTGACTTGATACAGGAATCAATCTCTAGAGCTTTTTCCTCTGCCATTTTGTACCCACCTACTTTTTTCAAAATTTTCTGTTTTTCTCCTTTCATGTATCCATGAAAATCCCTCACAAGCCCCTAAAACGTTAGCTGTAAGATAATACAATGCTAAAAAATACAGTGCTGACCAATACAATACAAACTAAGTTGTAATGATTGTATCCATTTTTATTTTCCATCATTATCTTAGTTCATGCTATAAAAAGCACTGGAGTATAGGAGCTTATAATGGACAGTAATGTATTTCTCATCAATTTGGAAGTTTGAAATTCACATTTAGGGTGCCAACGTAGTTGAATTCTAGTGAAAGCCACTTCTAGGTTTCACACTGCTGATGTATTATTGTATCCTTACATGGTAGAATAGAGCAAGCACTACCATATCTTAAGAGACCACAAAACCTATTTACAAAGGTTGTACTCTCATGTATGAATTTTTTCCCAAAGGCCTACCTGGAAATGCCATCAAATTGGAGATTAGATTTCAAAATGTTTATTTTGCAAAGCCATAACCATTCAAGTCATATCAGGCTTCAAGCTGGACAATGTATAATGCTTTATCAGTTTTCCTTGATTCTCTATTTAAAGTATTTATGTTTTCTATACTGACATACAGATATTACAAATAATGAAACATTTTTTCATTATTTCATTAATCAATTTTGGAATGTCATATTCCTATATAATATTTTATTTAACATTTATAGAGTATAATGCATAGAAAACAAATTTATATGTTTCTATGTTTTGTTATCATTCATATTTACAAATGAATTTTTAGATGAAATGGAAGGGGAGAATACACTAGCATAAAATCATAGTAACAAACTTACTACACTAATTAGTCACTTTTAGAATTGTTATTTCATGATTTAAAATGAAAATAATAAAATGTTAAACTTTAATACTTTTATTCTTCTTAGAACCTTATAAAACATCTTCCTGAGCAGAAGGTACTCAATGAATTGGCACAGTTTAAGAATGAATACGATGACCTTTGTGAACCTGAGCAGTTTGGAGTTGTGGTATGTATTGAACACAAAAACCCATGCATTCAGGCCGGGGTTGTAGATTAGTGGCACAGTGTCTGCCTGGCAAGTGCAAGGTCCTGGGTTTGATTGCTGAAACCAAAATGAAAAAAATTAGCCCACAAACTCAGCTGAGAGTTTAATCCTTGTAACAAAACAATGAAAAGATAGCTCCGTGAATTGACTTTTTTGTTACTGTATAACCACATAATTAAATATAATATTGGCTGTCAGAAAAAAAATCTTCATTTGCCTGATATAGTTGTCATGGTATTGCTAAAACATGTAAATAAAACTTTACATTCAAAAAGTAGCTCAAGATACATTCTCAAATCTGTATCAGCTATTTTTTTCTCCCACTTAGTTCTTGATATTACATTCGATCCCAGATATCTATGCTAAAATAAAAGGGTAATAAATAGGGGCTGGGGAGATAGCTCAGTAGAATAAACACTTCCCTGGAAAGCGCAGGGGTCTGAGCTCAGTCCTCAGTTCTGCAAGAAAAAAAAGGTAATAAATATATAAATATCAAGCTAAACACTGGACACTTTTCTGTGGTATGCGTTGTGTCTAAAAGAACTCAAGCATTTTCATGCTTTTTGAGTCATTAAATGATTAAAACCATGCATTATGGTATTTTAGCTGTGAGAAAGGTCTTATACCTCTTGTGGTTATATCATCATATTGTTAAATTATTGTTATTTGGAGTGAATTCTTATCTTTCCATATTCAGTGGTACAAAGGTGAGTAAATGTAAATTCTTTCATTAAAAAGTACAGTTGCATATTTTTAAGTATTCTGAAAGAGCATTATTCAAATAATTGGCACAACTAATAACAAGAAACAGAACCTTGTGTTATATTTAATTTCATACAGAAACACTATCTTTTTCACCTAGGTGGTCAATACATATGTGTTTGCTGTATGAATGAATATTTCCATTGTAGTTGCTAGCTTTGCTTTGACCTCATGAGTGTTTTTCATCGGTATACTAAGAATTTTTTTAATTACCATTAGACAATAGCAAAACAGTATTTGCTTTTCCAAAATATTTAATCATTTTCTTTAATAATGGTATTTTAGAACTCATATTATTTGGTAATTTGCAATTTAAAAATCCTGCTTAAAACAACCTGTGGGGCCAGAGAGATGGCTCAGTAGAATAAGCGCTTGCCTGGCAAGCACAAGGACCTGAGTTCAATCCCTGGTTCTGCCACAAAAAAAAAAAAAATCAACCTGTGATAGATGGAACTGAGCATGTTGCCTTTGAACTTGTACAAAAACCACTATCCCGTATTTAGAGTGATTAAATTCAAACACATTGTGTTGCCTGCATTGATATAAAAGGGTTATGCCAAGTGCTTGAGAAGAAAACCAGTCATATGTATTTAGGAGCAGTTAGAATATAGAAAGGTACCTGAGAAATACATTTCTCTCATTTTTGAGTAAGACAAATTAGTCAGCTAAATCTGCTATTTATTATTTATTAACTAGCACAACTTTGGCACAATGTTAAATAATAAAAATTCATAGACCAAAGTCCATACTTGAAACATAAACTGCTTAGATTCATGTTGTAATTGAAGCAGGAATATATACTATCTTAGCATTCAGCTGAATGATGATGATTATGAGTTTTACAGTAGGTACACTACATACTTTTTCTGATGCTGTTTTTTTTTCTGAATGTAGTTTATCTGGAAAGATGTATTAGTTTGCCAAGCAAGTCCTTAAAGAGAAATATCCTTGTACCATACTGAGGAAATGAAGTTTAGGGACATAAAAAGCAATATACCTTCTGAACTAAAGGCAAAGCTGAAAGTGGAAGATATTTCTTGTTTATATACTTAACCATAAATAATTCAGAGGCTGTGTACATATGAACTCACCTAGTCCTCTTACTCTTATAGGCTTAGCTGTATGTTTGGGGTTAAGGGGACAGCAAAGCTATTACAAAGCAGTTTACACTATGTAAATTATCTAAAACTTTATCAATCAGGATTTGTCAAACAAAGTTTAGATAATCTCACCTTAAGGCAAAATACTTTTGAGTCAATACTACACCTGAGTCTTTTAAGCATTTATGCTTCATAGTGGTAAGAACGTTATCTTGTGTAAATTGGACAGTGAATAAATACTTATTTAATTGAATTATAGTGTAAGAATGATTTTAAAAAACAGCATATTTTGAATCAAACTGAAAAATTAAGTTATTTATGTGTGAACATATGTATATATTTTCTTAACCCTTAAACATATATTGACAGTCTGTTATGAGAACAATTTTAAAAATACATAAATTTGTCTACACTAATGATAGGGCTCCAAACTGGAGAGGCTCCTTGCCTCTACTCTCCTCTCCCTTTGACACTATCTGTGCATTCTTTATAAAAGTCTATCCATATCATAGGAATTTTATATTTGTACCTTTTCTGTCTCCTAGGTGTATAGGACAAAACTCAAGCTCTTATACATTCCCATTGTGCCTCTAATTGCTTATCAAACCAGAACCTACAATATCTCTATTATCTACAAAGTTATTACTAGCCATGTATTTGTTTTGATATTATTTCTTTGTGTTGTTTTGCTTTGCTTTGTTTTATTTTAGATAGAACTCCAACTGTTTTCCAGGCTGGCCTCAAATTTATAGGGTCAAGAAATTGTCCTACCCGGGCTACAGATGTGGCCACCACCATTCCTGGCTTAATGATTTTTTTCCCTTCCTTGAGGATAGAACTCACAGTCAAATATATGATAGACAAATGTTCTACCCCTAACGTGGTTCCCTAGCACCATATCTTTTATCAACTGATTCTCTGTCAAGCCTCAGAAAAATAAATGCCTAATTATTATTACTAATTTTACAATCACCTTATTGATGGAAATTAAAATATAATGAGGAATTATCATGTCATATTGCATGCTAAATACTTTTGTTTTGCATGATCATGTTCATTGCATAGAAGCTCATGAAATTGGCACTATTAAGAGCTCCATAGTAATTAAGAAACTGATGCAAAGTAAGGGAAGGCAATATTTTCAAGTTTGCCTAGTAAGTAGTAGATGGCAGAATTCATCCCTGGCTGCTGTAATCCCTCAATTCTGCATCATTCTAATGCAGAATTCATACCTGGCTGCTCTAATCCCAGCCAGTGCTTTAACTATTGTATTTTAATAGTGTGGGGTAAGGTAGTTTCCACTTGATGCTAATTTACCTCTGTTTAGGGTATTATTATCCCCATCCTATCTTGGGGCAGCAGTATCTCCTGCCAGCTCTACTTTGTTGTGCTCATTATTCTGTTAGTCTCTACTCTGCCATTCTCTTCAGAAAGATAAAGGAAATATCAAGTCAAATTAATTAATTTATAGATAGATGGATGCATCACTACATATTCGGTATTGACCCTGCGGACCCTTTTTGGCCATTGCCTATCATTTCCTAGTGTCAATTTACTTAAAGGTTGGTCTTCATTTGCTCTCCACATCCTTACTTCTCCTTCAGTTTTCAACCAACAGCAATCAAGATTCTGCCTTAAATAATACATCAGAACTGATCCAAGAAAGGCCATTAATTACCTCGTAATCACATTTAAAATATACATCAAATCTAATCCCTGTTCTCCATTTTAACTGTCACCACATTTTTAGTTCAAGCCATGGGTCACCCTCTAACCATTCCAGTAGCTCATTATTCCCACTTACTCCTCGACTTATCTTCAAGTCAGTCTCAGTCCAACCCTCATGAGTACAGTAATTTTTTTTTTTTTTTGTATTTTAGGGAAGGGTCTATAAGATGTTCAGGGTCTAACTACTAGTGACTCATAGTGACCCACCTGTTTACAGCCTCCCAAGAGCTGGGATTATAGGCATGCACCAGCAAGCCCAGTCTCAATCACCCTTTCTGTGTGCCCCAGGGGTGGGGCCAGCATGGCAGGCCCTGGGATCGAATCCCATGCTCCTGCACCTGCTTGCAGGTGCTTTAATCTGTTTAGCAATTTGGCTGGCCCACTGTACAGTAAATTTTGTGTTGCAGCATATCACTTAGTTCCTTGAAATATTAGTCATGTCCTGTAGCTCTAAAGCCTTATCATCACCTACAAGGCACTGTCTAATCTGATACCTACACATCTTTCCTCCTTGGTCTCCTGCTCTGTATGCTTCAGGCACAGTGTGCTCCATTTTTTAGACACGTGACTTCACTGTGCGGTTTCCTGCCTTGGGAACCTTGCACATTTTGTGCCTTCTCTCCTTGTTCTTCAAGTATTAACTTAAATTATTGTTTTGTGAGTGAAGCCATCTCATATATTTATTAAACATTCAATTCTGTTAGAATCACTCAGAATACTTTTTAAATTTTCTGTTTGAGAAATTACCATGGTTTTAATTTTTCTTTGTGAGGTTATTAAGTTCTTTCAGTGGATGAATAATATTAATTGTGTTCTCATATTGTACCTAGCAAATTTTTGTTGTATTATGAATGTAAAATCAAGTAGACTCTTTCCTTTCCTCTTATTCTATATCCATGTGGTACTTAATAACACTGAATTTTAACTCCTTTCTGGAAACATTTTTTTCTATTCTTTTTTGGGGGACAGGGTTTCTCTGTGTAGTCGAAGCTTGCCTTAAACTCCCAGTGATCTCCATGCCTCAGCCTACTGAGTGCTGCAATTACAGGTATTTGCTCCCACACCAGGTTATCTCTTCCACTGACATTTTAAATAATAAAAATAATTTTTACTGAATTTATTCCTCTAATCCTACCCATAGACTTGCTATTATATATAACTTCCTAAATGATGAAAACAAAATCTCAACAAGCAGTAGTAAACATATACAAGATGAGATTTTTTTCTGCCAAATTGATTAATGCACAAATGATAACCATAAACAATGAAGTTGGTAAAATTTATCCAATACTGTGATTGGTCTGCTAAGCTTTCTCTAACCTTTTGGTTTTTTAGCAGTCACTTTGGGTTTGCTTAGAATCACATGTAATT